CACAAGGAAGGGATGAGTCAACCAGGGCGCAGTATAGCACCGATGAAACACACAATACTCCTCTGGTTCTTTGAGGCTTCCTCACCCCCCACTTTCATGACCCCAGTCCTGCCTTTCAGTTCTGACTAGACCGGAGCATGTACACAGGTACAGATAAGAGCTCACAATCCAGGGAATCCAGGGCAGGTAAACCCCTCGGGACCAATATTGAGAGGAGCCATACCAGGAGGGGAAGGGGAAGGTCAGGGGAGGCAGGATCTACCTATAATCCCCTCACAGGAGGATGGACAGCAGAAAAGTGGGTGAAGGGAGGCAGCGGTCTGTCAGACATGAAAAAATAATTTATAAATTATCAAGGGTTCATGAAGGAGGGGGGAAATGAGGAGCTGATAGCAAGGGCTCAAGTAGAAAAATGTTTTGAAAATAATGATGGCAACAAATGTGCTTGACACAATGGATGGATGGATGGTAATAAGAGTTGTATAAGCTCCCAATAAAATGATCTTTTTAAATGTATCCAATTTCACTGAAGTTTACTTATAGGAGCTTACATTGGGGTTTGTTCTCAAAAAGCCAAAAACAAAACTTAGGATCATAGAGCCTATGCCAATACACAGGACCAGGTCGAACTGCCGCTGCGGGATTCGGAGACTGTTTCAGTATTTATGGGGGTAGAAAAACGACTTTCTCAAGGGTGGCTGGTTTCAAATGACTGGCCTTGGCGAATACAGGCCAATGCTTATGCACTCTGTCACCTAGATTCCAGCCTTGGGAAACGTGGGCAACTTCACTCTCCCCCAGGGTCACTCCCAGTCAGCACGAACTCAATGGGAGTGGGTTTGTGTTTTGTGTTTGGTCATTTGCAGAGCAACAACCCCTGACTACCCTTACCAAAATTTCCCAATTTCCACCCCAGTGTGGAAGGCTGTACTCACCTGGGGTCTCCTGCCACTTCTCAGTAGCTCCTCCAGGTCTTCGCAGCTCTCCACGCCACTCTCCCTGACCAAGACCTGGAATTCTGGTGGCATGGAGATCAAGAACTGCTCCAGCACCAGCTTGTCCATAATTTGCTTTTTGGTGTGAAGGTCTGGCCTCAGCCACAGATGGCCGAGCTCACAAAGCCGCTTCAGGGTACTCTCGGGATCGGCACCCTCAGGGGCGGTAAATTCTCTGAACTTCACATGCCATCTCTTAAAATTACCATGCTCTCCAAGGTCAGCTCCAGGTTTGTGAGCAGGCTTTCTACGGCTCGAGGCACACGTCAGGTCCAAAGCCATGTCGGCTGGAGGTTTTTCCAAAATGACGGACTGAGTCGTCCTCACCTCTCGGAAGGTGTCTACTTTGGCTTCCTTCGATAATAAGAGCACAGCTTGGATAGAGAAATCTAGAAAGGAACACGGGATAAGTCAAACTAAATTTGTTTTACTCACTCTGTTACTCAGCCAATGTCGGGCACCATTCTTGGCTGGCACTGTACTTTGTTCAGTGGAATTTCCTCTCTTCTGCAACGGACCGCTGGAGACCCAAACCCTGCGGTGAGGTCACCGAGTCAAAGCCAGCTCTGCAACAATGGGTTTGCTTGGAGCTCTTTTCCTACCGATTCCAGGATTTTCCTTTGCTCCAGTGAACCAAAAAGCCAAACTCACTGTCCCGGAGCCCCTGCCAACTCATAGGGTCCCTCTACCAAGGGGAGAGCTGACCCTGTGCCTTGCTGAGACTGTAAGTCTTTTCAGAACCAGAGGGCCCGTCTTTCTCCCGGAGAGCGAGGGGGGTGTTTACGACTGCTGATACTGCAGTGCGCAGCCCAGTCCGTCATCACTGCACCACCTGGCTCCAGGGAAGGGGAGACACAAAAGACGCCCAAGAGAATTACAACTTCTTAAACTACTGTTCAAGGCTTTCCCCCTCCATAGTGAAACCCAGAAACCGGAAAGTTTACCATTTGGACCCTTTGCCCGAATCAGCTCCTCAGTTTTCCCCTCCCTCCCTCATGAACCCTGGTAATTTGTACATTATCACTGGCATTCAGTGCATTCGTAAGGTTGTAAAACCATTATTTATATCTTGTTCTGGATCATTTTCATCATCTGGGCCGGAACTGTCTGAAGCAAAGAAGCCTGGTGGCCCAACAGGTAAAACACTCAGTGCTCCCTCTGGATTCCGTAGCCCTGAGACCTGAACAGGCTCCGAGTGGCTTAAAGTCTCGAGGAGGAGAGTGAAACGGACATGGGCTTGTGACAAACAAGTTCACTTCAAACAATCACACACACACAACAAACAAACCCCACTCAAGCTGCTGATCGATAGGCTGGCCTTTGAAATCTGCTCAGAAAGATCAAGCCATATATTCCTATAAATATTATCCTAAAGAACTATTGAATTGTGTGCTATGTAAACTGTAGGGCAGTAAAACTGTTGGGGAACTAAGAGAAAAAACGGATTTGACAAGAATTCTCTAGCAGGATCTTAAATCCTTACCCACCCACCCCCATGCCACAAACAAACTCATTGGCATCCAGTCCATTTATAACAACCCAACAGGAAAAAGAGCCACTGTCATCCATAAACATTACACCTAAGGAACTTTCTGGACGGGGAGTAAGGAAGACTCCAGGACTCACAAGAACAATACATGGATTTCTCCCGATGCCCCTCCCTCCCTCCGGGCACTGGCCCACCTAGTTCTACTCCCACCACAGCGAGCGGAATTAACACCCTAGGCTCTTAAATCATGAAGTAAGAATTTTGACGTCTCTATGCAGTTCTCGAACGGGCTGCGAAAAGCAGAAACTATGAAACTGAACCTTTTTGAAGTTTCTCTGCGGTTCGCAAACGTGCTGCGGAAAACAGAGACACTGAAAATGTCGAGGCGGGTACTGGTCTCCGGTTCGCAGTACCAGAAAGCCAAAACACGGACTGCAGCCCACGAAGCTGACTCCTGTCCACCCTCTAGGGCAGGGTCGACTTGCCCCTCTGAGTTTCCAAAACGGCAACTCTTTTTTTTTTTTTTAAACAAAAACGTAAATTATTCAATGTTACGAACCATTCTCATAATAACTACAACTCTTTACAGGAGTAGGAGTCCCTGTCTTTCTCCCGAGGAGCAGCGGCTGGTTTCACACCGCTAACCTTGAAGTTAGTGCACACATGCACTCACCCGCCAATCCTGCCCGAGACGCTGCTATGCGCTGAATGCACAGGCGCGGCCCGCACCGCTTTCTGCGTCCGCCGTCGAGGGTACCGGCTCACAGAGGCCCTCCGGCGCGCCCTCGAAGTGCCCAGGGCCGTTTCCAATGAGGAAACAATGGTGCAGATGCCCCAGGACCGGTCCGGACGGTTCCGTGTTAGCGCCCCTACGACATCAATGTACGTGCCCTGACGCCATCTTGCTCTCTGTGGGTGAGGGGCCCGGGGCTTGAACCCGCGACGCTCACAGCGCTTGGCCAAGAAGCTGTGCAGCCCCAAGTGTTGGAGGCCGCCCTGGGCCCAAGCCTGAGCCACACCTCACGGATGCGAGTCTCGGGGCCACACGGGAGGCCCCTTGCTTTCAGCGGACACATGGGGACGATGCACCCCAAGCCTTCTGCAACAAAACTGCATGCACCCCACTTTCTGGATACCCTGGGAGACCCACCTCCCAGACTCACCTCCGCGGCTCCTCGCTGCGGCCTTCCTCGCTCTGGGGCCAGGGCGGGAACGCGCGTCCTCCGGGCTACACGTGCTACTTGTAGGGCGCTGCAGAAGATCCTTTCAGTCAGCGCTGCAGACACTGGTCGGACTGCGGAGGCGGGCTGGGTAGATTTCCCAGGGAAATACCATCACAGAAACTGAAAGCCAGGAAGGGGCGGCCGCGTGCAGTGGGCTCCTAAGACACACCCCGCCTTCCTCTGTTATTGAACGCCCCCCGCCCCCCGGCAGGACCCCAGCCCGGCCTCCGCGAGCGTGTGCACTGCCGAAGCTGAAGTGCTCTGACACACGCAACCCAGGCCCACAAGGCCTCAGGACCAAGGCCGAGAGGCGATCCCATCAGGGCGTGGGGAGGGGGCGGGAGGCGAGAACGGGGGACCGATCCCAACGATCGATCGCTCGACGCCCACCCCGCTCCCGCCCCTTCCAGGGGGATAAACGACAGAAACACGGGGGAAGGGAGATAGCGGACCGTGTGAAATAGGAAAACGAGACTCATTTCTAAATTACCAAGGTTTCCCGAGGGTGGGGAGGGTGGGGAAGGGAGGGGGGAAAGGAGCTCATACCAAGGGCTCAAGTAGAAAGAAATTGTTTTGGAAACAATTATGGCAGCATATGCTCAAATGGGCCTCAGACACTTGATGCAGGATTGTTGTACGAGCCCCCGGAAGACGACTGATTTAAAAGATAGATTGTGCAGGTCTCGGGCGACTGGAGCTTCTCAGCCAGTGCCCGGGTCCATTGCCCATCATGGCACCTCTCAGAAGAGCGAGAGAGAGCTACTGGACACAGCGAAGCATGTTGACCTCCGCCCTGCAGCCGCCATTGTTAAAGGTGGTCGTCCGCTGCTAGTGAAAAACGCTGGGGTGGGTGTACTGCAAACTAACTCTCGGAGCATAAGGACACGTCTTAATTGCCTTCGTTGAAGCATTAGCATATTTAAAAAATCTAAAATCCTGCTCCATGGCTTAGACTAACCAGCAACCCTTAAGGGTAATAGTGGGTTGCTCACTACTTCAGGATGTTTTCGTGGGGGGAGAATGTGCTCGCTAATGACATGGTCTCCGCTGTTCAAAAGGAAACAGTTATTCCATGGTCTCCGGTGAGCTTTTGGACCGCTCAGGATACTGACAAGCTTTCGTATTTGAACAGTTAATGGAAAAACAACTAGTCACCGATAAAAAAGGACTGTGCACGGGGGTTGGACACCAGGGAGGTAACCCTTTGCCACACTTCTCTGAGCCTACCCCAGGGGCCCGACCTCACTTGCCAGCGCTCTTGGACACCCGCCTGGCTGATTGTTTCAGAGATCTGGATCTGAAGAAGCCCATTAGTCAGAGGACTGCAGCCTGGCCTCTCTGCCAGGGACAGCTTCCCCTGGGAAGTGCCCCTGAAACTTAAATTTCTTTTAAAAAAAGTGTTAGCCTTTCCCCCCCCCAGACTTGCTGACATAGGCTGCAGAGAACCCTTCAAGCTCTGACTAATGGGCTTCTTCAGATCCAGATCTCTGAAACAATCAGCCAGGCCCAAAGCCCATTAGTAGGTCACTGGAGATCCCCTTGCAGAGGGGTCTCTGGGAGGAGACGAGCCAGTCAGGGTGCAATGTAACAATGATGAGAAATACAACTTTCCTCTAGTTCCTAAATGTTTCCTCCCTGCTCCCACTACCATGACTCGAATTCGGCCTTGCAGGTCTGGCTAGACCAGAGGATGTACACTGGTACAGATAGGAACTGAAAATACAGGGAATCCAGGGCGAATGAGCCCTACAGGACCAGTGGTGTGAGTGGCGGTACTGGGAGGGTAGAGGGAGAATGGGTAGGGAAGAGGGAGCCGATTGCAAGGAACTGTATGTGACCTCCTCCCTGGGGACCGACAGCCCAGAAGTGGGTGAAGGGAGACGTCGGACAGGGCAAGATATGACAAAATACCAATTTATAAACTATCAAGGGCTCATGAGGGAGGGGGGAGCGGGGAGGGAGGGGAAAAATGAGGACCTAATGTCGGGGGTTTAGGTGGAGAGAAAATGTTTTGAGAATGATGTACAAATGCGCTTTACACAATTGATGTGTGTATGGATTGCGATAACAGTTGTATGAGCCCCTAATAAAATGTTTAAAAATAAATAAATAAAATAAAGTTGGGAGCAACAACAACAAAAATAACACAGGTCTTGTGAACACCTCATGTGTAGAAGGCTGTGGAGGCCAGTGGGAGTCCCAAATCTGTCTGCAGAGTATCTAGCCAGAGGAAGCAGCTGGCAGATCCCCTCTGGCCACAGGCAAGGGGCTCCAACGGCTTTGCTACCAGACAGAGACCACTGTAAACTTGATCATGATGGATGGCACTACGGAGTAATATGATACTTGGTCAATTGACCCTCCCTCTTGAGCCAATCTGAATTTGCTCTAGGCTAAATATTTCTCACTCGTTCCACAACAGAAATTTCTTCGCTTGGCTTTTTAAATATTGGTGGTGGTATTTTCTTTTTTATTCTTTGTTTTTATCTTTATATTATTATTATTTTTTCCTCCTTTCTGTTTCATTTTTATTTTGATTGTTTCTTTTAGGGTTCTCAGTTATAAACACAGAAGGAATGGACACACAGAGACAGTAATTGATGTAATGGTTTATTGGGGAGGGGGTCAGGGAGGGGGACGGCAATTGG